AGAGTGTAATATAAATAAAATAGCTTTGGAGTGGCCGAGTGGGTAAAAAAACTAAAGAATGGGTATGAGAATAAGAGTTTGAGACTATGAGTACGTACCATGTACACTAGGCAGGGGCGGAGCAAGAAAAAATGTGTGAGGGGGTCGAAATTTAATTATATACAGTATCAAAATGATGGATAGTTATTATACAATATTTGAGTTAAATGTTTCATATGTAGTTGAGATAAATGGTTGTTTAATGAGCATTTTTCCATTAATGTATTGATATATATGCAATGTAGCATTTTTTACAATAAGGTGTTTTATATTTAAATTTAAGAATATAATCAACGTCACACATCAAATTTTTGCTTATTTCAAGTAAAGATGGTATTGATTTTTTCAGAATTCATAACCTTTTACTCGTAATGAGTTACAGGATCCATAATATATCAATCGAAAGTATTTCAGAGATCTACATTCTTGACCTTTCAGCGGGGTCATCTGACCACCCTGACCCCCTGGCTCCACCCCTAACACTAGGTCTATTTATTCCAATTGTTTCTGTAAAATATTCTGCTCTTTAATCTCTCATCCAATAATCCGATTGCTGTCTAAACTAATCCGTACTTCATCCAATAATCTGATTGCTGTCTAAACTACTCCGCATTTCATAATGCAATATATTTTCTTGAAATAAAAGTCACGCCAGGTGAAAAATACTCCGTATGAAATATTATTGCATAGTGATCATATTTGACAAAAGACCCTTTAATTATACACATTTTATTTTAATATCTTTTTGGTGGTACGTTTTATTTAATATTAGTTAATTACTTGATACTATATCCATCTCAAGTTAAGTGTGAAACACATATGAATCACATATTTTTATTAAAAGCGAAAGAAAAATATAATTTTGACCCATCTAAAAACGGAAAATAAGATATTTCTTTGTTTCAGCTTTCTAGTCTACTACGGAGTATAATATTTGTTCAATGTTAAAAGTCAACATCATTGATGATGATGTGTTTTGAATCTGTGGCCTTCTCTTTGAAAATGTCAAAGTGACTTCGTTGAATCACAAGGTGTTTTACACAAGATAACTATTTTAGGACGAAGGAAGTAACACTTTTGAAAAGCTCCTATTTAATAATCGAAAATCCCAACTTATTATTAATTTAAATGCAGAGATGAACAATCATACTATGTATTTTGGGTAAAATAGTCAGATAGGCCCTCGAACTTACATAAAAATGTCAAATAGGCCCTTATATAGGAGGCTTTGTCCGGCCGTCGCAGTTAAAAGCGCAGTTATTTTCAAGAATTCATTTGAATGCCTCCCCGATTGAATTGTTAGCTGAAATTTGGTATGAGTAAACTAGACTTAATGAATAAGATGCTCAAAAATTTCATCAAAAAATTCCATCGGGAACTACCCCAAATGGCGACGGCCAGACAAAGCCTCCTATATAAGATCAGTTTATTTGACTTTTTTATGTAAGTTCGATGGCCTATTTGACCCTTTTCCCGGGTATTTTTTAACATGTGCATTCAACCAAGTACCTTGTCGTCCGTTAGAATCTCAACCCGATTCAAATTAGCTGGTATTTAATATTAATATAGAACAAATACTATAATAGATTAAAAAGTTCATAATAATAAACACGTACATTATTTTTAGGTTGTATGAAAACGGTGTTTAAATTGTTAAATGTAAAGCCTTAACCAATACAACACCGGCCTCCTTTTCCCCTCAACAAGTCAATATAAAAATTTCAAGGACACATTGTAACACAAGATGTCTGGCTTTGCTACTGATCAAAGGGAATATAGAAGAAATAATAAGGGGCCGGGATGGCAAACATAAACCCATTCCCTCCAAATCCTTTTTACTAATTAAGGGGACAATGAAACATTTACTCACCCTACAAAACGTTGTACCAAAAATACCCGTCCATAACCTAAAAACCCATTCCTACAAAATAGATACACGATGAATTATTGTGTCTGTTTATTACTCCTTCGTTCCTTCCAAAATAAAAGTTCCATTTACTTTTTAGTTATATATATATATATTTTAAATTGATTTATATAATGAGTAATGGGTATTATTTGTTTCATTGACTAACGAATACTCCAATTATTCATTGACATGTACTTTACCGGTTAACTTTCATCTTCTACTTTTCTCGTTTTCTACTTTTTCCTCTTCTATTCTATACGTTTATCTATTCTTTTATATTTTTACATTTTTTGCATTATCCACTACTATTTTTATTATGCAGTATTTTTTAGTCTTTGAAAAATTTATTGTTGAAACAACAACGATATGAAAGGAGTGTCAAATGAGTTCCAACCACAAAATTCCATTTTTTCCTAATTTTGTTAAAGAAATAGGAATGAAATCCATGTATGCTTTTAATTAGGTATGATATTGTTTGATCTCGTCTGATATAATTTCATCTGCTTTATTCTAGCCTGGCCTGATGTAATCTGCTTATGTTCTTATGTTTATGTTAATCTGATCTAATCAATTCAATTGAAAATATGTAAGCGCTTTAAGTGAAGTATAATTAACACATTGGCAATCTAGAGTCGGGACATAGATATACAGAGTTGGGCCCGTAAGCGCCGGATCACAGTGTCGGGGCCTATCAAGTTCATGCACAATATGGGTGCCAATTAATGGTGTCCAGCCGCAAAGGGGAACAATAAGAAACAGACGGACGGGACTTCATGTAAGAGTGAAAAACAAAAACCAAAATGTAACAATGATAGTTACGATAATAAAATTTATTCATGACATCTAAACTACTACTCTATCCTCCTTGCGTTAATAAAGTTGATAACCCAATGGCAGAGCCGTCTAAATACTAAAATGAGGCCCAATATATGAACTAAAATAAAATCACAAATAATAAAAACTCACAAAGTTCAACAAAATTAATTTTTTCATTGGAAAAGTATTTTGCTTGTTTAAGGTCATGTTTGGCACACAAAAGCCTCTGCCTTCTAGCTTTTCTTTTCTTTAAAAAGATCTTAAAAGACTTTAGTTGTATGTTTGGCATGACATTTTTTAAGAGCTTTTCAAAAATTAAAAGATCTTTTTTGAGATGCTACCGGGTGTAGCATCTGAGAAAAGCTCGTGACTTTTAGTATTAATTAGTCCTAACAGCTTGTATACCAAACCGAACTAAATCAAACAATCAGCTTTTTACCAATCAGCTATCACCTTTTCTTTTTAAGATCTTTTCAGTCACTAAAAGCTAACAGTTACTAAAAAACTCACAAAAGTATCTTTTCAGCTAGTTGTGCCAAACATACCCTAATTGTTCCTATGATTTCAGACTTAATTAGAGAAGCAAGCAAAAGTATCAATTCATTTTAAATATCATTGCCAAGATAATGGGAATAAATCTCATCATATGTGATCCGCCTAACATGCTCTTGAAAAATAGGATAATATTCTGCAAGCATTTCAATTACACCTAATAAGTTTCCATTACTGTTTGCATACAACCGTTTATTACTACATCGGAAGGCTAATAAATTATGTTTTGCGAGAAACTTGCCAATCAAAATAATTCTCAACAACACATTGCTCCAATGCTCCATTCATTTTAATTAATCCTTGAGTCATATTATCAATAGTTTGATTATGTTTAAGCCTCCATTGCAAATCATACCAAGTGATCATATTAATAATATGTTTTGCACCTATTTCATGCTCTTTAATCTTAACAGAAAGAAGTGTCCAATCATTACAACCTTCTAATGCTAGTTGTCCTCTCCTTGAATTACTAAACGCTTTACAACAAAAGCAAAAAATTCTATCAGGTTCTCTTGAATATACAAGCCAATCTCGATCACATTTCTCTTCATTTGATAATACTCTTGTATAATATGAGCAAGAAAAACACTTGTTATATTTATCTCTCGGATAATTCTCAATTGACATGTCTCTTTTCAAGCCCTTTTTATTTATTTATTCACTTATTATTAAATTTGTATTTCTAATTTGCTATAACGCTATATAATAATATCACTAATGGAAAAAATCCCCCCACCCACCACCAAAAAAATGGTGTGCCCCGTTACAAAGAACATGGTGAACATGCCAAAAGATGACTCTGCCGAATGGGAGAGCCAAAGAGAAGAGAGTTGCAGAGCATCCACAGGTGGAAGATATGTTTGCAGGGAATGTGTCAATGGATTCGCCAAAAACGTCGAGGGGGCGGGCCTGGGAATTTAGGCTCGCCTAGGTCTTTCTTGCAAGTTTTTCATCACAGTACTTTATCTTTATGTTTGTCTTTTCTTTTAAGTAGTCTGAATTATATTTCTACCAGGTTATGTTTACCCGAGGTAACTTTTGTTTTTTGTTTACTTTTGATATGTGGCAAGTACACCATAGGATAAATGATGAAAATACATGTCGGTCATGATTGATTTACAGTTGTTCAAGTTGCATTGGGGTTAACGATTCATAATGCTCATGAGTGAGTGATATTATATACTCCGTCTGGTCTTAGGGTATATGATCGAGTAATGTTTTCTGGTCATTTTTTATTCCTTTTGTGTCCGATCATGTTGCTATTCGGTTGGATTCAATTATTTTTATCCAAGTCATTTTTTCTCAAAAAATATGTACCATTTGATTAGTAATACTCATCTAATTTATTATTAGCATATACTCCGTAATAGCGTTCCTAAAAGTGTGAAGCAGGGAAATACGCGAATGCCAATCATAGAAGTTTGATTTATTGACCTAAATGGGACTAAATTATTCCTGAAATTCCCAAATAGGAGTATGCATAATTTTTTGCCCTAAATAGGATTAGATTACAAATTTGCCCCTGTTTTTTCCTCTAAACGCACGCATCGCATTCATCTCTCCCCCTCCTGCGCATTCTTCTTTCCCCCTCCTGCGCATCTCTTCTCCCCTACGCATCCTCTCTGCCTAAGCAGCTTCTTCTTATCTTCTCCCTTCCCCTCACATCTTCTTCTTCTTCGCCTCCCCTTCACCTTCGAAGCCCGCCGCAGTTGACGCAAAGTCCGACGCCGCTGTCCAGTCATCGCCGCCATTGACACGAAGTCCGCCGCTGCAGGAGATCTTCTTCTCTTCTTCGAAGATCAGGTTCTCTACCTCTTCTTTGATTGTTCTTCCCGTCCTTCCCTCCCTCGTCTCTAGTTCTCTCTTCCCCTCTTCTACTTCATTGCATATGCTCCATTTCTTCTTTGATTAGTAAAAATGCCAAGTTCAACTCTGAAAATGCCATCAAAGTGGCATTCTTATTCAACAAAAAATTGATATTTTTATTTGAAAATGCCATTAAAATGACATTCTAGATTCATGTTGGCATTTAGATATTTTTTTTTACATTTGTGTCGGCAACAACCAGATCCACAATGATACAGGCCAGATTTGAGTGTTTGATGCCAGGATTGCCAGCTTACTTGGGATGGTGGCTAGATCTACAAAGGCAGTGGTTGGCGGCCGGTGGAACGACGACGCCCGTTACATCTGCAGCGGCAACAACCATATGTACAGCGGCGGCAGTCAGATCTGAAACGGCGGCCGTTTTTGAGGTGGCGGCGACCGACGGCGACTGGTGGCGGCAACCGGCGGCGACCGGTGGCGGGTACCGGCGACTGGTACCGGCGACCGGCAGTGGTCTGGCGTTCTGGTAGGCACCAGTACGATTTCCAAGCTTCAAGGGTGTTGTTGTCTAGTTACAAATAATAACTCTTATTTAGGGTATTTTTAAATTTGAGTCCTATTTTAACAATTAAAGATGCATTTACTCCCATTTAGGTAAATACCTCTAAGGCTTTATTTTATCAACTAGTTTTTTGCACGCGCGTTGCGCGACTAAGTAAATGCCCAATTTAATTAAAGTAAAATTATTTTGAAGTGCATAAAATTGTTATTCTTGGGATATTGTTTAAATGTATTTGATGATAAAAATACTTGAGCTGTGAATATTGATATTAGTGAAGTGTTTTCTATAAAATCATGTTGTGTTGCATAATTGCGTTATACTACGTATTAAATTAAACATTTTACATGTCATAGGGTAGCTGCCAAATACTTTATAATAAGAACAGGTGACAATTGCTTTAATTGCAACTTTTTTAAGATTATAAAATGCACAAATATTTTGTTGACTATATTATTTTGTGTACATTTTATTTTGTAACATTTGTTTAGTACTACTCGGTAGTTTTAGAATAGGAGAATATCATGTAGCATTAATATCTTTCCTTATTTTTCTCCATGGTAATCTCGGTAGGAGCATATCACGTATGAAACTCTTTCATACGCATATCTGTATATATGGCACATGGGATGTACGTAACTGATCGAGGAATAGAAGAAAAACACATTGAGCTTGACTGTCACTTCATACAGGACCATATTCAAGCTGGGACGATTGCACCATCCTACACACCCACTACAGATCAGCCGGCGGATTTACTCACCAAAGCATTGGGGGCACAACAGTTTTCCTACCTACATATATGCCAAGATGGGCATGTTTGACCCCCTCTTGAGGAGGGGTGTTGACTATATTATTTTGTGTACATTTTATTTTGTAACATTTGTTTAGTACTACTCGGTAGTTTTAGAATAGGAGAATATCATGTAGCATTAATATCTTTCCTTATTTTTCTCCTTGGTAATCTCGGTAGGAGCATATCACGTATGAAACTCTTTCATACGCATATCTGTATATATGGCACATGGGCTGTATGTAACTGATCGAGGAATAGAAGAAAACCTTTTTCCTTCATTGCTTAAAGTTTATTATATTTACAATATGAATATGAATTTACATGTAAAAAGTTAAATATAGTTTGTACTTTTTCCTGTGTCGAAACCTTCATATGCCTTGTGAAGTACGGAGTAGTCATTTTCTCTGCATACTCCTTTCTACTGTTAAACTCAAATGGACTTTTATGTATGATTAGAACTCCAAATTGAACTTCAAGATTAAGTTAGTTAATAGTTTCTCTCTCTCAAACTAACTTCATATTACAGTTTCTCCCCATAGTAAGGTTAGAAACAATGGTTGTAACTCACACAGGTAGCTTAGTTAGTTGAGTGGTGGGAAATTTGGATCAAAGACCAAGGTTCAAATCCCGCAGCAACCATGTGGAGGTTACAGCATCTGAAATGGGTTGGACCTCTAGCGCGCACGGGTAAATGGGTCTACTGCCACTTCGCTAACTGAGTCACTGTGATTTACATCCTCTCATGTGTCCTGTCAAGTTGGGGGCGTGGGGGGCTCCTGGGGTGGGAGATTCCACCTTTTGGATCAAGAGAAATGGTTGCAAACCATCTCATTGCTCTTCTAATGAAAACATGTACCAAGGTCCCCGTTAGACATGAAAATGTAAGTTCTTTTTACAATGTTGATATAGTAGTAACTATAAATATATTTTGGACATTTCAGGCCATTCAACCAACATTTTAGAAGCATGAGTCAATCAATTCAACTTAATTTTGCCCTTTTTGGACAATCTTGTTCTAATTTGGTTGAAAGTATTCAAATGATTACTTGAATAAGGAACTCGCGCCTTTCATGGTTTAAGAACATATATTTATCTTCCATGGTTGAAAAGCTAATATAGTTCCCCTCTTAAAACAGTGAAAATATTGGGATACCTCTAGTACATGTAAATTAGTAGAGCATCTGTCCTTGGTATGGATATAAGATCACAGAGTAAAATAATTTGAGTTTTCCTACCAAATAATTTTCCTTCTCCATAAACAGGCCTTCAAGCACTTAGTTAAAGTATCTCACTTATTCAGATTAAAAATGTTTGAGAGCGTAACTCGTGATAAAAAGAAAAATCTTTATAATTTAAGATAAGTAAAAAATGCATTTGCAGATACTCATTGATGATTTAACAATAATACACCCCAAAACATCACACTTATATAACACGCTCCATCTATTTTTTTTTAAAAACAGCTTATTATAGTTATTTTTGTAGAACCTACTGCACCAATGCATGATATCTTACGGAATCATTGGTGTGTACACTTTCCTTTTATACACACAAATAAGTGAATGCAAGGATTACATTGTCCTTTTATATTATCATCTCATGTATGCACAGTCTGAGGGACTTTGTATAGAACCTTTATATGGAAGAGTGAATTGGCTGCTTATCATTTGGTGTATACACAAACTTTGCCTTCTCCATCATTGTGGACACTAAAGCTATTACAAAAACCACTTCCTGAAAATCATTGCATAATTTTTTTTCTAAAAGTAGGTGAAAATATAGATCAAGTGAAAATATCATGTAAAAAGGACCTAGAGCTTTGTAAAAATATCATGTAAAAAGTATGAAAAAAGTGTCCTGTGGACATTTTTACAAACACCTAGCATGCACACTGAATTCTGTCATTCTGAGTTGGTGAAAAAGTAATACTACGTAGCTAATACTTCTGAAATTCTAACTCCATTGGCTAATGTTATATGGCTAATGTTATATGTATCTGAGCCATTTCAAGCATCAATAATTAAGAAGACAATAGCATTGGACTTACATTACAATGTGTTATATTCTGAAAGTTTGGGAAATGCAGTTTGATTCCCCCCCCCCCCCCCCCCGCCCCATAGAATTAACAATTATAGTTTAAACTTTTATGCTTAAAACTTGACCTGTAGGCAGCAGATTTGGCTTCCGTCTAATTAATACTCCGTACTACGTAGCACCTTAAATATAAGAGTACCTAATAAGAGATTTATTACAAAATTAGCAAAATGAGAGGAAATCTGAAATATTAACCATATCTAAACAAGCTTTTTTGGACAAACCATGTTCGAGCTTCTTCTTCATAAAGTACAACCATTCATCCTCTGCTTAAAATGAAGCGAATGAAACTCGAGTGAATGAATAAGAGGTAAAAAAATGAAGGAACCAAATCAATTCCGGGCCGGGTGGGAGGTGAAGGCCATAACAGAGGATTGCCCTCCCAGTAACTGGCGGTAAGGAATAGGGGAAAAAGGTGTTGTCATCCTTTACGATTTCCCATTCCTTCCATGCTGAGCCGCCTCTCTTCGCCGTTCGATGCTTCCGCGTTTCCTTTCTATAACACACCCAAGCGCCCTCCTTTACCGATAGCGAGCAGGGATTTTAGAGATGAAGCCTTTTGACTACTCCGTCTAGACTATCTCTGTCAATACCAACATAGAAACGGCAAATAGACTTGACGGAGTAAGAATGGGCGTACCGCGTACTTGGCGAAAAAAATGAGGGTACAATGAGTTAAGCTAACAGAACAACTCAATATTGCTGCAATGTTACACCAACACTTTTTTCATACCAGTTATACCCCTACTTTCATTGGTGCTTATAAGATTTTAGATATTACTCCTAAGATACGTATTGCCTATAAAGTGATTAGAAGTTAAAAAGTCCAAGAATATGACTATGGAGCAGTTACTACACAACGAAAGAAATGACTTTAAATACAACCACATTAATCCGAAAGAATTAATGCTACGGAGTATATAAATAGGAAAGAATTTAATTGATGATATATTACTTTTTTTTCGTAACTGACATCCTCAAAAGTAGGAGTGCAGTACGGACTACGGAGTATATGTGAATTCTAATTAGCGATTTCAAAGTAAGTATTCCAGTTACCAAGTAAAAATTGACAAAAAAATAGAGATCATATGTGATATTTATAAGGAATATTGTTGTGGGTTAATGCAATTTAGTAGTGATTGAGTAATTATAGTGACTATTTTTTGTAAGTTAATTGGTTGTTGCATAAGAGAATGTTAATTCATAGTAACTATCCGAGTTGAGGTAACTATTTCTATGATCTGTATCAATCAATTCATGTCGCTGCCACCGGTTTTTCTGCCACCGTTGCTACTATTTCAGCCGATGTTAGTGACTTTAAGGTTGCAAAGCATTAGTTACTTCGTCAACCTGGCAGTGATTTTAGGGTCGTAAATTGTTAGTGACCATCGCTACTAACAAGTTAACAACCACTCAGTGACTTCTTCAGCCGTAGTTACCTACCCCGGCCATAGCTACCATGGCTCGGTGACCGCTCATGTCATCCGGTACACCTACACAACCTAGTGACCCAGACACCCAAACAGTGACTAGTGCACAAGGGGTAAATAAACGATCCTGCATTTGGTTTTCATAGTGACTGGATTTCATAGTGACCGGGCATCACGTACTTTAAAATAATTTCAGAGAGAATGTATATTATTACGTATTTAGTGTGAACAAAGTGATCATAGGGCACCTTTAGTATGTAACTTAATGACCGTTTTAGTGACTGAATATGATATAAAACTCGGTGATTGTCACCTAGTGATCAGTGACTGCCGCCTAGTGACCAATTGACCTGCCCCGGCCGCAGTGATCATGATTTAGTGACCGCTGCTTAGTGACAGTGACTGATAGGGCACATTTAGTGTTTAACTTAATGATCGTTTTAGTGACTGAATATGATTTAAAACTCAGTGACCGTCGGCTAGTGATCAGTGACCGCCGCCTAGTGATCTGCCCCGGTCGCAGTGACCATGATTCAGTGACCGCTGCTTAGTGACAGTAATTGCCGG